AAATAAAAAAATACTGAATACATTATTATTGACAGTATTATGCCTGTGCAAATAACCTTACCATATAATCTACAATGAGATATAGATATATTATTTCTCTTAACTTGTTATTAGTATTAGCATTATAAATTTTATAAATTATTCTAAATTCATCTTCAAAAGATTTTTATATGATATTTTACTTGTTAGAAAAAAGGTAAGATAACTTTCAATCAGTGATGTAAAATTATTGTAGTCCAGAAATGTTTCAAAACCTGAAACCAGACTATTTATGTTGGCATAGTAACCTTAATTTAGATGTTAATGTTCATTTTCTCCTTTAACTGCTCAATCTTGAATGCTTTAATTTAATTTCAATTTTTATCCATCTGCTATGTTTCAGTCATGCTAAATTAAAAACATAAATTGACAATACTACTTTTTTTTTTCAAACTGACTTAACTTTTCCTTTTCTGCTACTCTGGTTAATAGAGTATTTTGGAATACTCAAAATGATTAGTTAATGCTTGTCTTTCTTTTTGAGGGGTTAAAAAAAAACAGCACTCATTTTCCCCAAAACAAAATATCAGTTATGGCTAACTTTTAATTTACTTTTGAATTTTTGTAATGCAAACAGCATGTTAGATCTGTCTGTTTAATTTTCATTCAGAATGACAAACCTCCTACACCAGTGTCCAAGCCATTGACTCCAACAAGTTCTGGACTGCCCAACTCAAGTTCTGGTAGCCTGAAAGGTGTGCCTAAACCACCTTCCCTTGGTAAGTTAATTACTATCTGTTTGATTTTTCTGCTTTCTTGTCATGTGAACTAAGATGAAGAAAAAAATCTGATTATATTAAACTAATAACTTGGATGTTTGAAAAGTTTCATTAACTAAACACTAAATATATAGTCTTAACTTTGTTTTGCTTTTGAGACGCATATTATGTAATTATGGAATAAATACTTCTTTTTTTCTGCTAAATAATTAATATACACTATCCTATCAAAAGTCATGGGACACACCTCTTATTGCAGAAAAATGAGTGTGATGACGAAATATGCAAATAGTTTGGCCTATGAAGGTGATCAGTGGTTCACTTGGAAGTCATTTCGAACTTGTACGCCAAACGACGAGTACATGAAAGAGCTAACAGAGTTTCAGAGGGGAAGGATGGGGAAAATGTCTGTACGAGTTATTGTGCAACAATTAAATAATCCCAGGTTGACAATTGGCAATGTGCTGAAGAAATGCAAGTTCACGGGTGACAATGAGCCACAGAAACGACCAAGTAGGTGTAAAATACTGACTGACAGGAGCCGACGTGCCTCGAGAAGGCTGGTTACCTCATCTTGCCATCATACTCAAGAGAATCCTATAAGTGTTTCTATGACATGTTGAGAGCTGCATGGCATGAATTTTCATGGAAGAGCTGCAGCCCAAAAGCCATTGATAACAAAAACAAATCACACTGTCAATTGGCATGGGACAAGACACGCTGAACCTGGACCGTGGATCAATGGAAATCAGTCTTGTGGAACGACTAGTCAAGCTACACACTCTTCCAGTCTGATGGATATGTTTTGGTATACCTTGAGAATGCTTATTATCTGAGTGTGTTGTCCCAATAGTGAAGTTTGGAGGTGGTGGTATCAGGGTCTGGGGGGTGCTTCTTGTGGTATGGACTAGGTCCACTGGTTGCAGTGCATAGATCCATGAATGTTGAGTCCTACATTGATGTTTTGAACAATTCTGTGTGTCCTACATTGTTGCAATTTTGTTAATGGCCTTTACACCTTCCAACATGATAATGCTCCATGTCACAAAGGAAGGATTGTGAACGTATGATTTGGAGACAGTAACATTGGAACATTGCAGTGGCCAGCACAGAGCTATGACCTCAACCCGATAGAACATTTTTGGACTACATGGAACACAGAATTAGGGCAAGGCCAAGATGGCCCTCTTCAGTAGTGGAGCTTACTAATGTTTTAAAGGAGGAGTGGAGCACAATACCACCAGCTTTCTACCAGTAATTAGTAGACAGTCTTCTCTGATGCATTGAAGCAGTCACTAAGGCCAAAGGCGGGGCAACATGCTATTAATTTCTTGGAATAAAGACATGTTTTATTCATAACTAACCATGTCCCATTACTTTTTTGTAGGATTGTGTATGTCAATATTTTTTTAAATCTTAAATTGTCATTTTTTGTCACTTTTTCAATACACTTTAATATCTTGTATTTAATAATGAAAAATTTCTTATCACTGAAACAAATGATAATAAATATTTGATGTTTTGTAAAGGTTGAACTGGTATGCCAGAACTATACAGCAATTTTTCTTATTTAACTGTAAAGTGTTTTCTATTTTTTTAATGATAAATAAAATGAAAACATTGCAATAAAACTTAAATGAGTTTGTGATACTGACTGTTTGACATCCAATGAGTATTTACTGTTGAACACTGAAACTGATCAATCAGTATGAATGAAAATAAATGTCAACCTTTGTGTTTTTATTAGATATTAACATATTGTTACGTCTCCGTTTGTTAATTGATTTTCCGTAACTTCGTTCCGACGAAACTTAAGCGACACAAGTCTTTACTTAATAAAACTGGTTTATTCTTTCCGAATATAACTCTGCGATACACTTAATCTCAATACTCGTGCTAAAACAACACTATAACGAACGAACGTTAACTTCAACAATACCCTGTGACTGCAGTTCAATTACTCACTATCTACACACACATTACAATAATCTCCCGCGTCACGTTTTCCCCTCTTATATATACCCGCCT